ACGGTCCCCGCCCCATAGTGCACTAGTCCACCCCAGTCCCTCCTACTGGTGAGCTGAGAACCCCTGTTTGTCATGCAGGGGAGGGATTCTCAGACACGCCCACTGCTGGCTCCTTGCCGGCTCTCAGGAAGCCGGATGTAAAAGAATTCGGAACTAACAGATTTTCCTTCCACCAATCAAATTCAACCCTGCCCTGGAATCCTGAATGCGATACAGGAAGTGGATAGAGAGGAAGTCGCACACCACGACTCCAGGAAGTGAACTCCCCGTCACCCTGTGAGGTGCTTTCTGGATTCTGGTTGCAGTCGCTTATGACGTTCACAATGGTGTTTGATGGATAAAATCCGGCACGGTTGCCTGGAATTTAAAGGAACATTCTAGAGCAGGGGTAGGCAACCTTGGCTCTCCAGCTGTGCTGAAACTACAAATCCCATAAGGCATTGCACGCCACAGGCATGACTCCCAGAGGCAGAAGCACGGTGGGATTTGTAGTTTCAGCACAGCTGAAGGTTTTCCCACTGCTGTTCTATAGGATGTAGTCTGTGATGGTTCTCCTCTATCCAGGTCATGGGTGGGCAGCCTTGGTAAGCCAGCTGTTGTGGAACTACAAGCTTGCAAGACAGCCACAGGCATGACTCCCAGAGGCAGAGGGGATGATGGGATTTGTAGTTTCAGCACAGCTGGAGTGCCGAGGTTGCCTACCTCTGGTCTAGCTGTTGGTCACATTCAGCCGCACTTGTTCTGTAATATTGAAGACGTTTCGGAGCTTCTTCATGCCCCTCCCTCAGTTCCGATGAGTGTCGGGTATATACCCCAGGGCACCACAACGCAGGGTGGTTACCGTGCACTGTGGTGTGCTTCAGCACGCGTATTGGAGCTGCATTGCCTTAGAGCATTGGGGCGCCTTGAACGTCACCACAAAGAATACGGACACCGGCATCCATATTGGAGTGTCTGTGTCCATAGGCGTCCCGAGGCGGGGTGACCCGCCGGGTCGCCTTCTCTCTTGAGCTACTGTCGGGCTCTCAGTCCATGACCGACATTTTAGAGGGGGGTGACACCAAAATGACTGTCGATTATTTTGGTGTCACCCCTCCAATGGTGTCACCCGGGTGCGGGCTGCACCCCCCCTCGTGATGCCACTGCCCATATTCTTTGCATCACAGGGACGGTGGCCATCCGTCGACTACCGTTGCACCCGCTTTATCTTGACGAAGCAGCGGTCAGGAGTGCGATGGGTACATGGGGTTATAACTCGAACAGCACCACAACGCACCACCTGCAATGCGATAACGTGCCGCAACGGGGGATAGTGTGCGCCAAGCCTAACCTGAGTGCATTCTGCCGCTGACCCCCCTCCCCCCCCCTACCCTTCTGTGTACCCAGAGTCGTTGCTGGTCAGTGCTGCGCAGCTACGAAGACTTCCAGGACTTGGACTCCAATCTCCACCGCTGCATCTTCGACCGGCGCTTCTCCCAGCTGCTGGAACTGCCCCCTCGCCGAGAACTACCCTCCCACGGGCAGGTAAGAGTCACATGATACGAACGCCGCCAGGGGCGATTCTATACATCAGTCTGAAAAGCATCTACTATGTGCAATCCACGGTCACCAAATCGCATTCTGTGTGCTTCAGACATATCGGTGAAGGATGATCCGGTCACCACGGGCTTCTGTACTTTACCCTTTCCTTTACAAAGGGAGAATTACTTTTATTATTTTATGAGATTTTTTTATCATTTTATTTCTTTTTAAGTCTAGAAACGAAATTGTTTGATTTGGTTTTACAAAATTTTAACAAAAAAAATGACAAAAAATGTACACACGAGGAATCCCGGAGCACTGCAGTAGACCGTGAAGCTGCTCGCTTTCAGGCCCCCTTTGTCTAATTGAAACTTCAAACCAAAAATAGGAGAAGAAGCAGAAAAATGTAGCCAACAAAAACAATAAAACTTTCATTCTTTTTGACCTGAACAACCCAAAGAACACCAACGCGGTCCCCGTATAAGCAACGTTTCATGGTGGACTTTGTGTACGATTTCACACACCTGATAAAGTTTTGTTTGCCTCCAGCTCCTGGCCCCGCTACTCTCGCGCTATCTGAAGGCTCTCTCTGGAATTGTGGACAGCAACATTAACTGTGGCCCCATATTGAACTGGATGGAGGTAAGATACAGGGGGTGTAGTCCCTGAGAGGGACTGGAGTGTGGGGGGGGGGTTACAACTCCTGTTATTGCTATTAGGGATGCACTGATGCAGTTTTTTCGGCATTGAGTACGGGTACCGATATATATTTTTTCTTCGGTATTCACCGATACAGGAAGTCCCTCTAAAGAAGCCGGGCCGGGTGTAATGACTCTCCACCCGGCTTCCTGCTTAGCTGGGAAGCCGTCTCCATATTTAATGACCATAAGTGGGACAACTCCATAATAATTGCAATGGTGGGGAGGCCAACTCCATATTAATGGCCATGGTGGGGAGGCCAACTCCATATTAATGGTCATGGTGGGGAGGCCAACTCCATATTAATGGGCATGGTGGGGAGGCCAACTCCATATTAATGGCCATGGTGGGGAGGCCCAATCCCTTATTAATTGCCATGGTGGAGAAGACCAACTCCATATTAATGGCCATGGTGGGGAGGCCAACTTCATATTAATGGGCATGGTGGGGAGGCCAACTCCATATTAATGGCCATGGTGGAGAAGACCAACTCCATATTAATTGCCATGGTGGAGAAGACCAACTCCATATTAATGGGCATGGTGGGGAGGCCAACTCCATATTAATGGGCATGGTGGGGAGGCCAACTCCATATTAATGGGCATGGTGGGGAGGCCAACTCCATATTAATGGGCATGGTGGGGAGGCCAACTCCATATTATTGGCCATGGTGGGGAGGCCAACTCCATATTAATGCTCATGGTTTTGGAATGGGATGTCCATTGAGCTCATACAGAAGTAGTTGTCAGGGGTTTACAGACTTTTTGCCTTTGTCCAACCATAACATACTCCAAGTAGACACGTTTTCCTTATCTTTCCGTTCTCCCCTCAGATTGACAATCACGGTAACCGCCTTCTGGTGAACGAAGAGGCGTCCATCAACGTCCCGGCCATTGCCGCGGCTCACGTTATTAAGCGCTACACTGCCCAGGCTCCGGACGAGCTGTCCTTTGAGGTAAGCGTGCTGTTCCTCTGTGCGATGGGTGTAATAACATGGAATCCGGGACTGGGGTTTGCATTGCATTGCTGGGTTAGAAGCTCAGACAGCATGCAGAGTTAAGGCAGAGTTCAATGTTGGCAGGGCACAGGCTACATAGACTGAATTAGAGGATGGGGGGTCTCTGTGTTTTGGGTTGAGTTGCCTCCAAGTTCTGGGGGCACCAAATCAAACAAAGCCGGGGCCATGGCAGAACTCCAACCAATAGCCACGCGCAGATTTCACACCAATCTAGAGGAAATATTTTACCGGCTGATCTAATATTCGTATTCTGGGATCCCACCAGGGGCATAACTACAGATCATGGGGCCCCATAGCAACCCCTTAAAATCGGCGACCCCCCTAAAATCTAAATCAAGGACGGGTATCAGGAGAGCCGTCGGCATACTCTCCTCCTGTACATCTGATCTCTGCTCCATTTGATTGGAAATGTCATAGGGGGCACAGGGTCAACAGCATCTACTGCAATCCTTCATGGGGCCCCCTTCTACCCCGGGGCCCCATAGCAGTTGCATGGCCTGCTATGGCTATTGTTACGCCCCTGGATCCCACCAACCCCTCTGTATTATATGGATCCATAGCATAGGGTTACAAGGATATGTTAGGATGACCCTAGAGCTGAGAGTCGGAGCTGAAGTCTGATGGTTGTGATTACATCTGTCTTCCAGCTACTAAAGTAAGCACAACGGTATCCAGCACAGAGCTTTGTAGCTGTCTGCCCGCCCCTGGCCCCGCCCCTTTCGTTCATTGGATTTCAGATCAATCACGGCATCACTTGTGGGCGTTACCAAGGACCTGCCTAGGAATGCCCTCCTCCGGACTGACATCCGCCCATCAAGGCATTTTTAAAATTTGCATAACTCCTCCCAAGTTCCAGCCCACTGCTTGCGTCAGGGCCAGCAGCGTCACAAGGTGGGTGCGGCCCGCACCCGGGTGACATCATTGCAGGGGTGACACCAAAATTACTGACGGTCATTTTGGTGTCGGCACTCAGTCACGGGCCCAGAGCCCGACAGTGTCAGGAGACAGGAGGAGGACCCGGCGGCATACCTCATCCCGCCGGGTGAACGTCCCCTCCTCTCCCTGCCAGCGTCCATCACCAAGATGGGACGCCGGTAGGTGTCCATCAGATGGCCGCGCGTGCGCGATGTCACGGCGACCGGGTGACACCCAGCCTCGGGGCGCCCCTGATCAGGGCTGAGGGTTCTTAGGCGAACAATGGAGGCAGGGTGCCGTTATGTGTTCAGGAAGCTATGTACAAGCCCCTCCCACCAGCAATGACCAGCCTGCACTGCAGAGAGAAGCACAGAGACCCAGTGATGATATTAGTGAGTCTGATATAAAGTATCATGTTGATTGGGGGAGGGGG